CGACTGTGGAGACTTTCACAAAGATGTACGTTCGCCAACGTAGTCTTGAGACATAGTTCTCTGAGGAGTAGGTTCGCGCAGGTCCGTAGGTTTGCGCATGATGTCAGTAGATGAGAGGAGGATCATCCAAAAAAGTCTAGTTCATGCGGAGGAAATATCTCTTCGTTGCAGGATTTCTGATGCGTTGACTTACTAGGCAACGTAGATGTACCCTCCGATCCGGTAACAGATGCTTTTTCTGCGACGTAGAAGAAGACGTCTTTTTCTTAGCTTGAGTCGGAGACAACTGTCTTGGCCCCCATACCAGCAGACTGTCCCTGCAACGTACTCAACATAGCACCAGTATTATGAATTTCAGCAGTAGCAAGCAACATACAGTTTGCAGGCTGATCTCCTGTTTTATCAACCGTGGCTTGAGATGACTTCCTCACCTGATCCATGGCACGTCTATAGATATAAGACAAATATTGACTAAATTGTAGATTTGATAAATCAACACAATAAGTACAGCGCAAGCTGGAAGAACATTGTTTTATGCACGAAAGGCATTGGGGGTGAGGATCAGCCACGGATAACCTGTGCCTGCAAACACTGCAAGATTTCATGAAATGTAAACAAAGTTACGTAACATGAAATTATGACACAAATACAAATAATTTTTATATTTTTTTTTACATATGATACATAATAGTTATTGCCTAAATTAAAAGGATATAATGCCGTATACGGGACTCCAGTGCTCGCCCAAACATCCACTTGGGCGAAAAGGGAGAGAGTGACAAGTAAGGCTGGTCACATGACTGTTTACGCAGGAAAAGGGAGGTAACTCGTGGGTGAGTGTATTTTTACGTCCGCTTTGGGAACTTCAAGGGATTCAAGTGTTCCACTACCATTCGCAAGGAAATAGGAGATAAGCAAAAGATCATGAGTCAGGATAAGAAAAAATTATAGGTTATGGTTCTGATAACTCTGATCTCAAACAGGGGTCAAAATTGTTTTTAAATCTTTTCTTGCACAAGGGCAAGTATAAACACAGTGAATGGTTACTTAACTATGTACGAAACATACCATTTTGATACTGATTTTAAGAGTCAATGATTTGTAGATGTTGCTTGCCCCTGGGCAAGATAAAATGCTTATTTTACCTGTCCGACATCAAATACTTACTGTACCTGGGAGTCGGGCAATCATATTTTTACCCCTGTCAAAACAAGGTTGAATAGTAAAGGATTCTTACTTTCTTTAGTATACAAAATATGCTGTTTAATAAATTAATTATGAAGGGTAACATCATGTATCAATTGTGACTGAAAGTCAGGGTAGAACTGAACTTAAACCATCAAAATAACCATCAAACTTGCAATATTATTTTACCCAATATACCTGTACTGTAAAAATATTACGATGTGTATCATTTGAAAAGAGTAGAGCAGTATACCAGTAATGTAATCCTAAAATATAGTTTTATTTCAGTGAAAATGATTGGCACTAGTCCTAACAATGCTAACCTGATAAGCACATTTATTTAATAATCACACCACCCTGGGTTTTTTTTACTCAAAATAACATTAGACTTGAATGACATGAAACAATTTAAAGTTATGCTCCTTAAAAGAACCTTGCCCTCATTAGAACAAACTAAAAAAAGAAAGGAACAAAACACAAGGGACAAAACCCTGTAAATTATTAATTTCTGTTCTCGTTTGGCAACTTGAAATCTTGATCAAGTTGATGATTTATGCAAAAGCTAAAATATCTAGAGTTGTTTCACAGTAAATCTGTCTGTCCCATAACATTAGACAAGGAGCAAAAAAAAATTGTGAATTTGATCTGTATTCCTGTCATCGATGCACCCACAGGTTTCCAATCAACCTATCCCCATTCAAGTAGGACAGAGACTGTGCGGGAAAGACAATAGGGAAAGCCCATATGAATGAGTACATATGGTAAGCTCGAACCACACAAACGTGTGACAGAAAAGACAAGGAATGATCCCAGCATCAGGGTATGGTGAGACATTGCCTAATCTCTGAGTCTTTTTAGCTCTTAAAAATATAGTTCATTCTGCATCAATCTACTTATTCTGCTCCGAAGCAACGTAACTTGAAAAATAATTGCCATCCTAAGAGGCATCATGTTCTCCATATGTCCTGATGTCAGTGTGTTCTGGCTTCATCTTACAGATCCTTTTAAGTTTCTTTATAATGTTTATAGATACAAGTTTGAATGAATATGATAAGACCGCAACAAGGACCGTCAAGAACTCCAAGATGTGTTTAGCTTTCTTGAAATGATACTAAATCATGCTCACTTAGGAGATAAGAATATAAATTTGTATGTTTTCAATTGATAAAAGTGTATATAAAAGACATTAAAATTATAGCTAACAAAATTTAAAAGTAACTAGTTAACAAAACATTGTTCTGAACACCTGATGTTTCAGATATAGTTACGATGAAGATACAGCACTGACTCCTCCTCCAGCACATTTCATCCAATCATCTCAAAGGTCTCTAATTAATGATAAGTCGGTATATAACAGGACCATGAGTTATGACTAGACAGATCTTTTTGACAGCTCCCATTTGCATTCAGTGCAAGAAAGTAATAGAATCACACAATGTTATTTGGACACTGATTGCATTAGACACCCTAAAAGTTTCAAGGGAAATAGAACATCAAGTTCTGCATGAAATAGTCATCTGGAGTGAAAGGAAGATTGCAGTGGTTATCATGGTTATTAGTGAATAACTTACTCTATGTTCAATTATTAAAATGCTTGAAGTCATTTCGGGAAAGATGTGTTTGAAAAGCTAACTTTGGAAATCATATCTAGGATAATTCAGTCTGACAGAGAATACCACATAACAGATAACAAAAGTAATATTGGGGAATACACTTTCTCAGTGAAGTACAGATTTTTGTACTTTTGTGAGGTTGAGTCCCATCTGGGCCAGGCCACAAAACCAGTGATCTAACACATTTAGACACTGCAGCTTCCACAAATTTGGTATCTGAGAACTGTTAGTCTAGATCACATAGTTTGCCCCCGAAGCATTATTTCTTACCCAAACTTAGTTATCAATACTTGAAACATAAATCACTGTTGAGAGTTTATGCAACACGTGCCACTTAGGCATATGAAACATTTTGGTCTGAGAAAATGTATCAAATTTTCTCCTGATACAAAAACTATACCAATTAGACCAAGAAATCATGAATATATGGAATAACCAATGACAATTCAAACCCAATGTGAATGATAACATGTAAACAAATATGCATGTCAATGATGCAAAAACTATCTGAATCACTGTTAGCATAATTGAGTACATTATTCAGACACAATATATGAAAATTTACATTTATTCTTATCCCAAACCATGCTCAAAATCTGGAAATCATACATTTACAAAATAAAACATGAAGCATAATTGAAAATGCCTAGAAAACTTCTCTTACACCATGAACTACAGAGCAAAAACAACTAAACAGTATATTGTAAATATACCAGTGTAGAGCCTACGACCTTGTCTTACAGTCTACATTTTGAGGTACATTTTCAAGGCCCTTTTTCAACTGGTGGCACCCTATTTTCTCTACTATCTCATTTATAATGTCTCACATTACAAACTGCAGTGAATATGCAAATGGTGACTTACTGCCCAACAGACAGGATGCTTTAGTTCTTATATAAATTAATACATTTTGTAACCCGATATGATTTTACAGTTACACATTTCCTACTCGTCTTCCTGTGGGCGTTAATTTTCACAGTTTAAATAAATGTAGCTTTGGGAAAGATGACACTTTCATTTCTAAATAACACCCAACTTGCTGCATTAACACTTTTATAAAGAACATATGTTTCGCTGCCAGTCAAAAAACACATTTCTTTGGATAAATATGAAAGTGTCTAAAACAGGAGTTCATTATTGATAATCACTTGAGGTGAAGTTTTAAGTAGTCATTAAAATTACTTTATCACCGAGTTTTACACTACACTGTTACCATTATATTGAGGCACACAGTCAGGGCTAGTCTTCCCAAGTCTAGTTATTTTACGTAACCTAAACTCCAAAATGGACCTGAACTAGTTGTATATAATCAAAGGTGTCCATCCCTAAAACCACCAAGAGGTGCTATTAAGCAAGGACCATCAATAAGCTAGCATTTGTTCCATGTCATTTTGAAAACATTTAACAAATTAATTTACTGCTTCATTAACTGTTTTGTTGTTGTTTTTTGGGTGAAAATGTGTCATTTGTGTGTTCTTAAGATTGAATAAATTTCAGTAATACCAAGACTAGTACTAGTAGAAAAACATTTCACCTTCACCTAACCTGTACTGAACACTGCCTGCAAGCAAGTCTTGCTAGATATAACCCTGTGAAACCAACCAAACATAATTCCATACAAGTTTATTCTGGAATAAACACATGATAATGTTATGAATCATAAGCTAGGCCTAGAATCTGCAAATGTTACAGTTTATGCTCAACTGCTCATCATACACATGATACAACAGTTTCATTGCTCTTGTCAAGTGGTGGTTGTCAATAAATACGAGGAATGATTGGCAATATTAGAAAATCTCATCAAGTTCTCATGGATTTTAATTGAACACATCAATAATGATTATCACTGTAAACAAAAAACAGACAGTTCATGTGTCACTTTTCATTCTGGTTGCTAATTTATGCAGTTGTTGGGGGACAGTTGTTCACTCAACCACTAAATTCTACTCAGGAAAGAGTCAACTCATCTTTTTGAACGATTGTAATATTCAAAATCACCTTAACAATGATTTAAATTACTAACCATGTTACAATTCATTTCTAAAACTAGTCGACATCATTTGCCGCCAGGAAAATGCATGTTGGAGTAAACATTTGGCTTCATGGGTCACATTGTCAGCCCATGTTTGAGACACAGCGTGCCACTTACTTTTACAGTTCAATCGTTTAGAAATGCGAAATAACCACTATAAAAAAACCGACCCTCCTTTTGGTCTGTGTCCATTTCCTCATGATCGACTTGATTCTCCTCCTTGTCATTTACATGGTTCATTGTGCTGTTGTTCATATCATTAGGAGAAGTGACCGTACGTTGGCGATCTCGCCCTGTGATCGGAGGACTTCTTTGTGAGACGGTCACTTTCACGTGTTTGCTTGCGATTCGCCCAATGTCTGCAGATTTTACCCCTTCAGCGGGGAAAACTGCTATACTCCAAAAACAGTGAAAATTTTGATTAAAATCCACAGTGATGCACCCGGCTCCTAACAAAAATAAACAAGATGGCCGCCTCGTGCGGGAAGTCTGGGATCGCAGATATTTAAACGACTTGGAGCAAAATTAACTTACCGTCAGCTGGTGTTACTTTTGCAGTCATGATACAGAACAAGCTCTAACCCAGTCCTAATATGCACTGTTAAGACTTATTCAAGGGCCAAGGAAGAGATTTTTGGTTCCGTGCTACTTCGGCTATTTTCGTCAAATTTGCAGTGTCACTGCGCGTGCGTGTAAATTAGTTCCGGTGTTACGAGAAGGCTGATTGTCTAGGCGGATTCGACATTTCAATCAAGTTTTGTTGAGCTTTATATTGTCGTATTCACATTTCCATGACAAAGATCAGGTTAGGGACATAATTAAGTTTATGATGAATCCAGAGGAACACCAGGATTCGGAACAACCGGCCGAAAATTGGCTAAGTAACTTTGAGGACCAGTGTCTGGACGATCTTGAATCGGAACCAAACATGGAGGATAGGCTACAGGCTGAGAGAGAATACGCAGTTAAAAAATTATGGTTGACATTTCAAAATTCTGCTACTGCTATTGCTCAACTGTATAAAGGTAATTATAAAGATATGTGACCCAAAATATGAAACTGTATACTTGTCAGTCCTCCACAGACAGAATTATTTAGAACGGGGCTGTAGTCACCTTATCATATTGGGTTGATTAATTTGTGCTCTATTCATGTCTCTATTTTTACTTTCTCGAAATGTTCATCAGTGATTGTTCTATATGTAGTTTGGTTATTATTTATTCCAATGAATGTTCTTGTAATTTGTATTTATTTTGTCTCTCTCCCAATAATGAGGACCAACATAAACATGTGGGGTGGGCTATATGTTCACATGATAAATGAGTGTTTTGACCCAATGAAAGGTTTCATTTTAGTTGGTGATCAGTGTTGGAGGATCAATCAACATAGCTTCATAACTGTATGCATGCCTGTTTCTTGGATGAATTGTTTAAGTTATGACCAAGAGATTTCAGCTTTTTACCATCTTATGCACATTGTCAGTATTGGAAAGTGTCCTTGAGGTTTGTATTATGGCACTTGGTATTGTGAGTGTAATAGTGTAGTATATGTGATGTATGTACCTCAGAAATGTTGACATGTGCATCCACAAAATCACAAAATACAATGATTCAGTTGGATTCAAGTAATGCTTTACATAATTTTACTATCATACCATTATTCTCGACAGTTGGTACACAGTAATAATACAGTTGAACTGTTTTTGAAAGGCACATACTCTGTCCTTGTTTATAATCACATGGATTTTAAACATGACTGTGTATCTGGTATAAAACCATAAGTACTTGTTTCGTTTGTTGCAATAACACAGCACATTAAAATGTGTTATTTTTGTGCCTCTTGTCCTTGACTGAAGAGTACCAAAAGGGTGAAGATATATACTGACCATTGAATACCCATTGACTTCACTTACCAAGTAATTGCTCAGTAGCTCTAAGTTTTCAGGAGCAGTTTCTGAAGCATGGCAGTTCTACTTTCTGTTACTTTAGATATATTGACCATTGGATGAACTCTACTTTCTAATGAGGCAAAATTGAGTGAAAAGTTGTGCGAGACATACTACTACTTGGATATATTGTGCTTTTTTTGTAATTTGATGTTTGGAAGTTGTTTAACATTTGAAACTGCAGACTAATATTGTTGGTTCCAAATGAAATTTCAAGGAATTTAATACTTGTAATCTGAAAATCACATGTTTACCAAGTCTTTGGCTAAAAGAAGTATTACAGCAGGCAATTCCATATAAATGTTGTAATGATATCATTGTGACATTGTCATATGACCTCTTATATGGGTATCTCAATTGTTTAAAATTTCCGTCTACATTTTCAGATCGTCAACAAGGGCTTTCCATGTGGGTACCATTTCAGAATGCTGCAATATCTGTAACTAGTTTATATAAAGGTAAGTTGAGGACTTCTGTTGGTAAGAGTTCCTCCTGTTCCCCCATCCCAAATGATATTTATATATTGATATATACAAATATTATTAACAAAACCTAACACAAAATTACTAGAGAACTCACAAAAATAACTGAAAGCCAAAAAAATTAATTACAATAAATAGTGTAGTATGAAAAGGGTCCAAGGCACGGTAATGTTCCACAAAATAATATGGGAGAACGGAAGAAACTCTTTCCGCTAGCATGAGTCTACTAAATTGTACTGAAGACATGTGAAAATGGCAAGACTCAATGACTAGTAGTATTTTAGGGCTATAATTCTGAACCAGTTTTAAATGCTTAATTTCTGCTACAAATTTGAACTTACTAAGACCAACAGAAAACATTTTTATCTCTTTCATGCAGGACTAAGTGCCAACTGTGAGGAACAGGTATATAAGGCAGACCTATCTGAAAATATAGAACAAGGCATCTAAGGCTGATGTCGTTTGAAAATGAGTAGCAGGTGGTTATTATATGTGAATCAGCTAACTGATTTTCACCATACCTCAAGAGTGAGGATTGTTGTTCATGGTGTCAACCACAGGTTTCCATGCTCTAGACTGTGTTATTTACAGATACTGTAATGTCTGGAATAGTGCTGTTGCTTGAAACAACAGTTACTTACTCAGGATTAAATTGTGCACCTTACATTTTCTCACAGTTACTAATCTCAATTCCTAATCTGGCTAACCCGTGAATATCCGGGTCAGAATTGGTCTTGAGTAATCCATGCTTGTCATAAAAGGCGACTAACAGGATCGGGTGTTCAGACTCACTGACTTGGTTGACACACGTCATCGTATCCCAATTGCATAGATCGATGCTCATGCTGTGGATCACTGTATTGTCTGGTTCAGACACGATTATTTGCAGACTGCCGCCATATAGCTGGAATATTGCTGAGTGCCGCATTAAACAACAAACCAACCAACCTAATCTGACTACAATCATTATCATTTTGGTTGTTGGTGTGGTGTTGAAATAAGACAAACACAAATTTTCTTACCCACATGGAAGCACACAATAATGACTGAGTATCATTGGTGTATCTCAATCACTGTCTTTTTCATAATTTATGAAACAAAACAAAAATGTTTCAAAGGTCATATATCTATATCTCCTGGGCTTACATTTCGGTAGGTAAACACTACACTAACCCCTGTACCCACTCCTTTGGTACTAGCAACATCAAATTACCCAACCTTGTTTTTCATTTGCCTGTTTGATTTACACCACTAGGTCTAACATACCGATCAGAATGTGACATTCAAACCAGGCTCAAAGCTGGGTTGGAAATGTCAACAACACGAAAGCCTGTCCGATTGATTATGATGGAGTTAGTGAGAATATCAAAATTAGAAAATTGATTGACATGCTCATGAAAGGGCTCAAAAATCTGTCTGTTAAAACTCATAGTGGCTTTCATTTCTAGGTATTACAGGTTACCTCCCTTACTCTTTCCCTTATGTCTGCATTTGATTGGTCAGTATAAGTTTCATGAAAATCAAAAGCAGGTACCTTAATTTTCAATCATTTTGAACCATGGGAATGGGGCAGTGCCGTTTTTACTGAAATGTTAGGCCTTGGAGTTACATGGTGAGCTGGTATTTGCACTGTAAAGATATTAGGAATTTCTCTTGCATGTTGTTAAAGAACTGTATAAGTGTATGCATTAATGTTCAGTAAAGGTGTTTTTACTTGCATATGATTTCAAATTCAGTGCACTAAATGTCGCAACAACTGACATGACATTTAGTTGTAAATTATGGAGTTAGCAAAATTATGATGGAAAAAAAGACATGTTTTGAACAACTCAATCCATGTCACGTTCAAATATAGGGTGCTAATTCTATTTATATCAATGAGTGCTTACATGTGCTAAGACTTGACTATAGCAGAACACCTCAATTTCCTTCAGTTAATGAGAGCCCCATGGTGTAATCTTCACTGAATATCTTACGTATCTAGCTTTTTGAGTCAGTTGAAAGTTTGATATGTACACAGTGTCATTATCTGCTGGTAGGGTTTTGTTTTGTAAAATACTGAAAACATTTTGATACTCTACTGAGTTCAGAATAACTGGGGGCAGTGGGGTAGCCTAGTCGTTAAAGAGCTTGCTCGCCACGCAGAAGACCCAGGTTCAATTCATCACATGGGTACAATGTGTAAAGCCCATTTCTGGTGTCCCCTGGCGTGATATTGTTGGAACATTGCCCAAAGCAGCATAATACTAAACTGACTCATAAATGTTGAATCTTTGTGAGGATAGCCTTATGTTTCATAAAATGTCAAATAAATGACTACTGATGTTGAAGACATGTTTCTCCAACTCCTAAATGCCTACCAAAGTGATTATCAAAGTGTTCTGGACTGAGACTTTAAAACATATGACAGTCCATTGTGTGAAGCCCATTTCTAGTGTCCCCTGTCGGATATTGCTGGAATATTGCTACAAGCGGAGAAAACGCAACTCACAATTATTGGGTTGATGGGATCATAGCGTTTGATCTTATAGTATCTGAATCTTTGAGCCTCATTGATATAAAATAAAACACTTGGTGTGTTAAACACTCTGCTCCAGTAGGAAAACAGCAAGTTTTTCCACCCCACATTTGGCAACATTTCAATTGTATATTACTACAAAGGGGCAGTGGGGTAGCCTAGTGGTTAAAGCATTCACCTTGTCACGACGAAGACCTGGGTTCGATTTCCCACATGGAGGCAATGTGTGAAGCACATTTCTGGTGTTACTCTCTCTCTCTCTCCTTCCTCCCCCCCCCCCCCTTGATATTGGGGGGAATATTTCTAAAAGTAGCGTATAACTATACTCACGCACTCATTACATCAAGATTATTCCATCCTATGTGTTTCTTTTACTACCTTCAAATAGCAAGGTTTAAATGTCACAATGATCGACATTTACAACACTACTGATAGTACACTATACTCTAAGACTGTGAGAGTGCATAGTCAAAATCACAAAAGATGTTTCTGTGCTCAGGTTCATCTCCAT